CAGGCAAACTGAATATGATATGCTTGTAGAAGACCCAGACTGTAGAGTATTTTTCTTGCGCTCGGAATATTACATTTGTTCATGCGCGGAAAACATCATTTTGTGCACTTATTTATTTACATCTACTGATATCAAGTGGCGAATTATAGATATTTTTCTATTTCTCACATATGTCATAACTTAGTTATTATCGAGTTGCGATGGAAAACCCATAGAAGAAAAGTTTCTTATTTTCGTTTATTACGGTCAATAAAGGTAAAAATTTCCTTCTAACTAATGGCATAGTGAAACTAAAATTATTCCGACAATGTTTCCCAGGGGGTGTTATAGGGCAGAGCCCCCCATCAACCCCTCCCTCGGGTAGTGTCCGAAGGGCATGCCCAGTCACCGCAACGAGAACAGAAACCAATTTATTAATTCAAATTATCAACGCTAGTTTGACAGGTCGACGCTAGTTTAGATGCTCAGTTTCAAATCAGTAATTTCTTGTTTGTCAGCCCCCTTTGCATCAAAGTGACATACACAAGGCCAGTTGCCTTTAGACTGCGAGCGCTGTTCCGCAATCGTTTTCCTTTAATAGTGGATTACTGCATATTATAAACAAAGGGTCAAATCAATAAACCAGCTAAAACGTGCACCCTTGTTTTCAAATATATTCGCTGTAAATACAAAGTGAAATACTTGATAATGGTCCGACTGGGTATGAACCATCTCTAATTAGTAAAACTACCAATATTACACGAATCAAACGCTCCATCCTTTCTCCCTATTACCTGGTGATTCCCCGGACGTATTCTTAACAGGTGACTCCATCTTCTAGTCTTATTTTGACCGTAAATTCCTCCTTTTCTTCCCAACCTAACAGACTCCTCTCGTTTGTAAACAACATCGAGGACGAGTTCGAAAAGTCCCTCGATAATTTCAGCCAATCGGATCCACGCTTTGGAAAAGGGAGAGTTCTCATTGGGCAATAAAGAATGAAGAGCCGAGAGATATTAGATTAGCCAATCGGAGTGAAGCGGGGAAGACTACTACTTTCTCATTGGTCGATATAATTTTGGAAGTATCAAAGACAAGTTGCCCAATAATAATGGAGAAGGAAAGAATACTTGTATCTCATTTGTGTAATCTATCATTTTTGTAAAATAATTGTGAATTGCATTATTATAGTATAATAAACACCTTTTTATCATTATATCCTTTACTGTTAATCTTGGGATTTATATTGATGTCATTATTTTTCTCTTTTTCTTTATTATTACCATTGCTACATTGGTTATTATAATAATTATCATTAAGAACTCTTCAATCAGTTCTATAATTACCAGTATCATTATTATCATCATTATCGTTATCATAATCATTATTGTTATCATCATTGTTTTCAAGGTTAATTGTTATCATTATCATTATTACTGTTATTATTATTATTATTATTATTATTATTATTTTCATTATTATTATTATTATCATTATCATCAATATAATATTTATCATCATTATTATCATAATCATTATCATTTTGTATTATTACTATTATCATTATCATCATTATTTTTACTGTCATTACCATTTTATTATGGGTATTATTATATTAATTATCATTATCATCCTTTTTTCTATGAGCATTATCAGTATTTCTAGCTATTATTATTACTGTTAGCAGTATCTTTATCATTATCATTGTTATCATTATTATGATCATTCTCATTATTATCATTATAATTTTTTATCATCATTACTTTTAGTATCTTCATGACAGTTTTTTTTTTGTAGAATACATATGTCTATGAACATTCTCATGTAGGTCTTAAATTGCAATGTGTCTCTTTTGTGACCAGTAAAATGTTATATGTAGATGAAAAAACACTAACACTGGTAAATGCAAAAAAAAGATGACTGAAGTAGATTCACACTGTATCTCAATACAGGATGCTTTCTTAGTATGTAATCTGTCATGAGTGTTAAAATTCTTCATAAAAGACGAAGCAATTGTGATTGTTATTTCACATATAAACATTTTCTTTTTTCTAGTGTTTATTCCTTGATGGTTAATGATTAATGTTTGAAACAAATAAATGTGCTAGACATCAAAGTTCTTACAGCACTATGGTTAGTATGGTAGTGAAAAGGGTAAAGAGGAAGTAGCGAACAGAGTACGAAGGCCGTTCAGGACTGACAAAGCCAGTCTTTCATCCTTTCAGCACGGCTCTCACACTTTAGGATATGGACTGTGTACACTTGCTCTTCTCTCCTCCTCAGTACTCACCCTCTCATCCTTTGTAAAATCAACTGTACAGTGCTCAATTAAGTACATAAAGTTGCACTGTACGAAATAAAAAAAAAAAAAGAAAATCATAGAACAGGTAACAGATGTAAATGAAAAAAAATTAGGGACTTTCTGTATTCAATAATATATTGCCAGATTATCAAGAAATCAATCACACACAGACACAGACACACACAGTCACAAAAAGATACACACACACACACACACACACACACACACACACACACACACACACACACACACACACACACACACACACACACACACACACACACACACACACACACACACACACACACACACACTTCTCATTTCACAACACTCACACTCCTCTCATTCTCACACTCACACTCACACTCACTCTCCCTCTCATTCTCACACTCATACTCATACTCATACTCACTCTCACTCTCACTCACACTCACACAATCACAATCAAAATCAAAATCACTTTCAATCTCAGTCTCTCTCTCTCTTTAGGACAATGTTGCCTGACCGAATGTCACATACTACATATAAATAGAAAAAACAGATATTCTAAATATTCTCTATTTTCAAAACATGAAAAATACAACAATACTCTTTTGGAAAACAAATTCAAACAAGGATAATAGATAATTTCATTAATTCAACCCTCATATCATTAATTTTATGTTTAATCAAATGAATTTATATATACACTATATTCCTTCTTGCTAACAAATGTAGGAATACAAATACATTTACTAACTGGAAGACATTACCATATAAAGCACAATTAAATTTGTTTCTAAGAAAATACTGTATTTTTTTCTATATAGTAGAATGTGGAAATACATATAATACTTTTTAGTAGTCTTAATACCAGGGAAAGTTTGTTTCCCAAATATATGAAGTCAATATTTGTAATCCTTTCATTGGCTTGTTTCTTAATCTTAAAATAATCAATAGGGTTCATAATTCATTTCAAAAACTATGTATGCTATGTTATATAAACTCAACATTTAACAGGATATCATATAATGAAAATTCAATACTACAAAAATATTCACTTGGATTCTGAAATCTGTGTAAGTCAGAAACTTTATAAATATATGCATTTTCTTCAATAAACTATATATCATGATAAAATTTACATAACAGTAAAATTGTATGGCAATATTATATCACAACAGGCTAACCACATACAAAACACATGTTCATTTCATCAGCACAAAAGTAATCTTCTACTATTGACAGTTTATAATTCAAGTTTATATTATTATATTTGCAGATAACTTAATAATCACAGTTATATTTGAGAAATATATTTCCCTTCACAGTAATCTCTAACTTCAACAATGTAACTTTTTACAATGAAGCTGCATACAGCCTTGAGACGTGTATAGAAAGTAAAACTAGTTATACAAAATATCAACAGTATCAAAATACTATTTTCAACAAGTCAACAAAAACCAATAAAGCAAAGGACAGTAATTTGCAAAAGTGCTCCCAAATTTCAAAACCTGCAAAATAACCTTGTCAAAATAAAGCCCCATCATATCTGGTTATTTTCTGATGCCTTTACTCCTCACTAAAGCCTTCTTTCTGCATCCTTACATATTCTTTGCGAGCATCCATGTCATCGGCTGGTCGGTTGTGTGGTGTCCACACTGGAACCCCAACAAACAATCTCATGGCCTTGATATAGTTCTGTGGAGGAGGTGAAACTTTTACTAAGACATAGAAGAAAACAAAACAAAACAAAATATTATAAAGAAAAAGGATATTTTAAAAAATGAGTAACAAAGACACAAAAAGGAAATGCATCACAGAAAGAAAATGCGGAAGAAGAAACTGGACAAATAATATAACTAGCTGACATATCTTTCATCTAATCATATACAGAGTAGGTTTTCCTCTTCTTTCATAATGCTGATAATCTGAATTTTTTTATATAATGAGTTCAACATTTTTCTTTCTGACAATAAACTTGAAAAGAAATCTTGAATCCTTTAAAGCTTTCTTGCTGGTCCAACATATATACAGTTTATACATATACTCAATCTAGTTAGTTGCTTTTCCATTTTAACTGTACACCCGAGTGAGAGGATGACCAATACTTTACCAGAAATCACCCATAGTAATGATAAAGAGTATGATTCCAAATTACTTGTAACATCTCTTTTTCATTTTTTACCTTAGTATCTAAAGTGAATCGGTGATAGATTCCAGCTGGGAGAATCAGGAGGTCTCCCGGTGTCACTTCAATCCTGATCCACTTGTCTTCCTTGTTTCGAACGTCAAAGTACCCGGAGCCTTCCAGGACAAAACGGATTTCTTCATCAGTGTGGATGTGTTCCTCGTAAAAAATTTTGAGCTGAGGGTGATGATTGGGGAAGCAATTAATAGCTAAATGAAAAATAAAATAAGATTTATCAATTAGTTCTTCCAATCTATGGAAAAAAACAAAAAAATTTTGTCTTATTAATTCTTTTTAGACGTAGATGGTTCCACAAGTACTTAGTCCTCCAAGGACTCAATTACTAAACCCATGTGATCTCACCAACTTATCGCATTTCTTGAATTTCATGGAAATTTTTAAAAATTTCTTTAGTAATTATTGTCATCATCATTATTATTATCATTAGCAGTATCATTACAGCTCCATTAATAATAACAGTAACAGTAATAAAGATTCAAACATCCAAAAAATTCAAGGAACAGGGTAAAGAAGTGGAGTCCGTATAAT